CATTTTGGCTGCCTTCTTGTGTTTGTTTCTATGCCTTGGGTAGAGCTTCTATGTCTTCTGGGCTTGTTCGACTGGACTTTTGTAGTAGATGTCCTGTAGCTTATCTTCTTTGGTCACCCAAGTTGGGTGCTCCAGGTATGATGCTGTGTGGTCTGTGTACATTCTGCTGTTGTAGTTGAGTCTTGATTGCTGTTGGCATGTTAATGGGAGGGACTGGCTTCCCAGGTTCAAAGGCTTTGAGGAATGGCTATGACCACCATGGAGAATCTGCTATGCTGGGGACTAGCTTTAGTGGCTCTCTGGTACCCATACCAGACATTGACTCTGCCCTTGAGTGTGTCTCATGTGGAGGAGATTGATTGGGTGATGCTTCAGCATGTTCTTGTGGTCTGAATCTGTCCACCAAGTGCATTGGCTGTGGGACCTTCCTGGAGGTGCAGCCTAAGGTCAGCTGCTGCCTGTGCCCTGCCCAGGGCCACCTGGCATGAGCCTCAAAGCAGTCTGCATACTACTTGTGCTGGGCTTGGAGGTGTCTGGGAGAGACCAAACTGTGAACCAAGGCTGCTGCTGCTAGTGCTGGGCCTGGGGTCACTTAGTAAGAAGCATGAGGCAAATGCTTCTTGTTTGAGGGATTTTAGGAAAGTCCACAGCATTACCCAAGACAGGCTATTTGTACGTAAAAGCCACAGGAAACACCTTGGATGTGCACACAAGTTGGGTGGGGCAGTGGTCTAGGAATCACCAGGGCTGAGCAAACAGTGTGAGCCAGGTTGATGGAGACTCAGATATAATGTCCACCTGTTGGCCCTGTTGGGGGACGGCTCATCAAGGGAACAGTGGCCTCTGCTAGGACTTTGCCTGGGAGAAAGCTGCCCCTCCAGCCTTCGCTATGATGTCAGACAATTCATTTCTGCCTTATATGTCCAAAGTGCCTTTTGAGCTACTTCCCCAGCACTATACCTCAGAGCAAGTGAGTTCGGGTTAGTCCTTGCATGGGTCCTTTAATAAGAAAGCCTGGTGCTCCACGGGCCCTTCCTCTTGTTTAACCACTATTCTTGCTGGTTTTTACAGCCAGAAGTTGTGGGAATTTCTCTTTCCTGCTCTGGAACCTTGGGCTAGGAGGGTGGAGGGTGGCATTGGGATCCTTTACTCAGTCAGGACCTCCAAAGCCTATATATCCCTTTTGATTTTTAACTGCCACACATGGGAGTGGGACTAACCAGTTCCATGTCTTCTCCCCTCCTACAGGCCTCAATGTGGCTTCTTCATTATGTCCTTAGTTGTAGGACTTCTGTTCAGCCAGATTTCAGGGGTTCTGAGTGATTGTTGTTCTGTAGTTAAGTTGTAATTTTGAGGTGGTCGTGGGACGTTTAGAGAACCTCATTTACCTACAGCTTCCATCTTGACTGGAAGCCAGATTAATGCTTTTTATGCTTCTGTTTAAGAAATTTTTCTTGATTGTGAAGTCATGAAAGATAATCTTTTCATTATATTCTAAGGCTTTATAGATTTGCCTTTCACATTTAGGTCTGTAACCACCTAACTTTTTCTTTTTGTGTATGTGGTATAGTGTAAGTGGAGGGTTTAGTTTGATAGGTTTTTCTTCTAGATGTATCCCCAATTGTTCCACTGCTGTTTTTGGAAAAGACCATTCCTTTATGATTTGTCAAGGGTCCATATGTATATGGATCTGTTTCTAGACTTTTCTGCTCCATTAATATATTTGTCTTTTCCAGATATGGAAAAACCTATGTAAATAGAGGGTACAAAGATGGAATAAATGCAAAATATCAGTCATTATAACAATACAAAATTAAAATCACAGTTAAAGCACAAAGATAGTTACATTGGATTTTAAATATCTAGCTGTATGCTCTCTAAAAGAGACCCATTTAAAACACAAGAATTCAACCCTGGCCAGTGTGGCTTAGTGGACTGAGTGCTGGCCTAAGAACCCAAAGGTCATGAAATTGATTCCCAGTCAGGGCACATGCCTGGGTTGTGGGCCAGTCCCTGGTTTGGGGCGTGTGAGAGACAGCCCATTGATGTTTCTCTCACACATTGTTGTTTCTGTCCCTCTATTTCTCCCTCCCTTTCCCTCTTTTAAATAAATATAAATAAGTAAGTAAAATAAATAAAATAAAATCTTTAAAAACAACAAGAACTCAGAAAAGTTAAATAAAGGGTAGTAAAATAATTACCAGGCAAATTCTGACAGCCTTGCATTTATATGAGAAGGAAAGGTATCTCAATCAACTCCATGCTTTCCTGAGTTCAAGGCCTCTCTGCTCCTGTTCCTTAGTGGTTGTTAAAAGTCTATGCCCTCATTACCAAGATGTACCTTCTAGGGCAGCCACCTTCTTTGTTTCTGCCCATCAGAATTTTCTTACTCTGTTGCGGAGTGAGCCATGCATTTAAAAGGAACTTGCTGTCCTGACTGGTGTTGCTCAGTGGGTTGGGTGTCGTAACACAAATAGAAAGGTCGCTGGTTGGATCTTTGTCAGGGCACATGCCTGGGTTGTGGGCCAGGTCTCCAGTTGGCAGCATGTGAGGGATAACGAATCAGTATTTCTCTCACACACTGTTGTTTCTTTTACTCTTTCTCCTTTCCTTCCCATCTCTCTAAAAACATAAATAGAATCTTAAAAATTAACTTGCCACATTTCATCTAGCACTTTTTAGGCATTTGTGTGGATGTCTCCCTACCCGATGCTTTCCTGTCTCAATTGTTTAGTCTCTTACGTATAGTTTGAATCATTAGTCACCCATATCATTTAAAGATGTAAAATGATTGCCTGTGAGCAAAGAGGTTAGAGATCATTTCTTTTTTGAAATATACTTTATTGATTTTGCTGTTAGAGTCATCCCAATTTTTCCCTTTGTACCTCTCCAACTGGTATACCCCATTCCCTCCAGCAATCTCCCTACCCTTTAGTTCATGTCCATGGGTCATGCATCCAAGTTCTTTGGCTACTCCATTTCCTCTACTGTCCTTAACATCCCCATCTACTCTGTACCTTCCAATTTGTACTTCTTAATCCCTGCATCTCCCCCCCCCCCGCCCCGTTCTCTCCCTTCCCCCTCCCACCTGATAACCCTCCAAATGATCTCCGTATCTGTGATTCTGTTTCTGTTCTGCTTGTTTGCTTAGTTTGTTTTTCAGATTCCACTGTTGACCGTTGTGATTTTGTTGCCATTCTAATGTTCATAGTTTTGGTTTTCATCTTTTTCTTAATAAGTCCCTTTAACATTTCATATAATAATGGCTTGGTGATGACGAACTCCTTTAGCTTTACCTTGTCTGGGAAGAAATTGATCTGCCTTTCAATTCTAAATGTTAGCTTTGCTGGAGAAAGTAATCTAGGCTGTAGGTCCTTGCTTTTCATCACTTTGAACACTTCTTGCCAGTCTCTTCTAGCCTGCAAAGTTCCTTTTGAGAAATCAGCTGACAGTCTTAGGGGAACTCCTTTGTAGGTGACTCTCTGTTTTTCTTTTGCTGCTTTTAAGATTCTCTCTTTAACCTTTGGCATTTTAATTATGATGTGTCTTGGTGTGGTCCTCTCTGCGTCCTTGTTTGGGACTCTCGGTGCTTCCTGGACTTGTATGTCTATTTCCTTCACCAAATAGGGATGTTTCCCTTTGTTATTTTTTTGGACAGATTTCCAATTTCTTGCTCTTTCTCTTCTCCTTCTGGCACCCCTATGATGCAAATGTTGGATTACTTGAGGCTGCTTACACTATGTTTTGTTTTGGGGGTTTTTTTTGGATTATTTTTTCTTCTTGCTGTTCTGATTGAATGTTTTTTCCTTCCTTATGTTCCAAATCATTGATTTGAGTCTCAGCTCCATCCACTTCACTGATGGTTTCCTGTAAATTTTTCTTCATTACCCTTAGTGTAACCTTCGTTTCTGCCTGGGTCTTTTTTTATGCTGTTGAAGTACCCAGTGAGTTCCCTGAGCAACCTAATAGCCAGTCTTTTGAACTCTGCATCTGACAGATTGCTTATCTCCATTTTGTTGAGTTCCTTTCCTGGAGTTTTGTTCTGTTCTTTCATTTGGGCCATATTTCTTTGTCTCCTCATTTTGGCAGCCTCCCTGTGTTTGTTTGTCAGCTGCTCTGACTCCCTGTCTTGGTAGCGTGGCCTATCGTAGGAAAGCGCACCCGTAAGTTGGATGGGACAGAACCTTCGGTATTCGCCAGGGTAGGGCAACCTGTGTCAACCAGGTTGATGGAGTCTCAGATATGGTGTTGCCACTGTGTGGCTCTGTGTGGGGGAGGGCCCAGAAAAGGGACAATGGCTGCTGCCTGGCCTCTGGGGTGTCCAGGAGGAAGCTGTCCCCCAGCACTCGCCCTGATGCCAGACACTTCAGTTTCTCCCCGTATGCCACAGATGTCCTTCCAGCTGCTGCCCTGGTGCTAGAGCCCAGAGGGAGTGAGTCTGTGTAAGTCCCAAGTCCATTGTAGGCCCTTTAATAGGAGACGCCTGAGAATCCCACAGTTTCTTTCTCTGCCCCAATCCCCACTGATTTTTACAGCCAGAAGTTATGGGAACTTATCTTCCTGGCACCGGAACCTTGGGCTGGGTGGTTTGGTGCGGGTCTGGGATCCCTCGCTCCCGAGGTATCCCTTCCAATGTTTACCCACCATACGTGGGTATGGGACTGCCCATTCCATGTCTCTGTCTTTGTGTCTCTGCCCATCCTACCCATCTTGATGAATATGACTTCTGTAATTCCTTGGTTGTCAGACTTCCATTCAGCTTGATTTTCTGACAGTTCTGTGCGATAGTTGTTTTGTAGATTAGTTGTAATCTTAGCTGTGGTTGTATGAAGAGGTGAACTGTGTTTACCTATGCCTCTTTGACCGGAAGTAGATCATTTCTTATATTCTTATACATTTTTCACATTTTTGCAAAAGCACATATTTTATAACTTTTTAAACTTAAGGAAATTGTCCTTAAGATTTTCCAAGTAATAGCCCTTGTTTTCCATTTGTTTCAGGTGGTGCGGTTGTGTCAGAACCCAAAGCTGGCGCTAAAGAATAGCCCACCTTATATCTTAGACCTGCTGCCAGATACCTACCAGCATCTTCGCACTATCTTGTCAAGATATGAGGGGAAGATGGAGACACTTGGAGAAAATGAGTATTTTAGGGTGTTCATGGAGAATTTGATGAAGAAAACTAAGCAGACCATAAGCCTCTTCAAGGAGGGGAAAGAAAGAATGTATGAGGAAAATTCTCAGCCTAGGTAATGGAGAATACTACACAAATATTTATTCAGGTCTGTGACTGCTCGAATGGGTAACACATAGAAGTAGTTAAGTTGGTTTTAATTTTGTGTCATCAAGAACGCAAAGCTGACATTTGATTTAATGGTGTGCTTTATATAAAAGGTTGCCTTGGAGGACATTGAACCATTTCTAACTTCATTAGGTTTGTTTACCTATGAAAAGTCAGTGACTTAACAGTCAGGAAGATACGTGGACGTAGATTCTTTAGAGACCCTGAAGGTCATGAAAATTTGTGGAGAGGTAAGAGTTTCAGGGAAAGAGGTTGGGAGTAAGCTGTGGTTGAGAGTAAGTAATAAGAGGTCAGATTTTTTCCAGAGCTGTAGCTTATTAGATGAATTATAAGTATGAGATACTTGGAAGAAATATTAAGCCATTAGTCTAGTTAACTTTTTAATAAAGCATAGTGAAATGACATTTCTTTTATAGGTAAACTGACTTTTCAAATAGAATAGATATTGGCAAGTGCAGTTAATTCAACAAGTATTTGAGGGATCACTGTATTTTGTACTTTTTAAATGCTAAAAACTATATTGGTTATCCTATGTTATCGTTAGCTTGGTTGTTGGAAATTACATACTAGGAGAGAAGTAGGTTGATTATATATATGGGTATAGTTGTATTTGGTTTTATCCAATTGGAAATAAATATTAGCTCATCTAAAACAAGTGAAAAATGTAAATACTTCTATAACTTTAGGGAATAAATTACTCTTGAGGAGTGACTTGAATTAGGGGGACAGTAATTTCTGAGGGCATTAATTTGGCATGCATTACCTGAACAGTAACTTAATGGTATTACTTGTAGCCCACCACTCCTTTCACTCTGTTGTTTTAGATTCTAGGAACCCTTGTCTCTCACTTAACATTTTATTCAGATCATTATTCCTATTACCTTTTTTACTGCAAATTACTCAGGTTTGGTCCAGGATATCAGTCTTTTTATTCTTAAGAAGATTTCTGGTGAGTAAATTTAATCTGTAAGAACATTTGTAACTTCTAATTTATATGAAAATAGACTTCATTCCTTTTAATTATTTCAATTTCATGACTTTTGTTAAAACCTTAACTATATGGGCCTTAGCTAACTAGTAATTTGTATTGTTGAATTAAAAAAAAAAATTTTACTTTATTGGATACCAGAACTTTTGAAGTTGGTAAATTTCAAAAATTTATTTACCATCTACAATGAACTAGGTTCTGTTTAAATTCCAGGAGGTGAAAAAGAAGAGGTAAGCATTCAATTATGATGTAATGTGATGAATGCTTTAATGGAGATATATACAAAATTCTATGAGAACAGTTTTTCTTAGTAGCATTAAGGGAAGGTGGCACAGAGAGTTATTTGAGCTAGCTTTTGAAAGGTAGGAATTTCCTAGGCAGAAGAGTGAAGAGGAGGCCTTTAACACAGAGGCATGAAAAGCAGGCTCTGTATCTTCAAGGAACATGAGCGGTCTGGTTTGGCTAGAATGGGGGGATATAGATAAGCCAGAAACACAGATTGGAGTGAGATCACAAAGAGCTGTTCTCTGACCTCTAGATCTTTTTGTGTAGATAGCAGGCTGTCTTAAATAGTCTTTTTTCTAAAGAGCATTCTTACAGTGAAATAAAAATTACTGACCTTTTGGTCTTGGAGCATACTGAACATTGTTTAACATTTTTCTCATGACTGATAGTTTATCACTTAGAGGCAGTATAGTGAGGTGGTTAAGAGGATGGACTCTGAAGCCTATTGCCTGCGTTTGATTCCTAACTTTTCCACTTACTTAGTTATGTGATCCCTCAGTTTCCTCATCTGTAAAATGAAATAACAATAGTACTTTCCTTTTAGGATTTTTGGGAATTACTATTTTTTAAGATTTTATTTATTTATTTTTAGAGATAGGGAAGGGGAGGGAGAAAGAGAGAGAGAGAGAGAAACATCAATGTGTGGTTGCCCTTCACGTGCCCCCAGTTGGGGATCTGGCCTGCAACCTAGGCATGTGCCCTAACTGGGAATTGAACCGGTGACCCTTTGGTTCACAGGCCAGCACTCAATTCACTGAGCCACACTAGCCAGGGTGGATTTTTGGGCATTACTACATGAATAACTAAATGTTTAGTACTTAGAACTAAGTAACAAACACATTGAAAGTGACAAATGGGAGAGAGAAGATGGCGGAGGAGTGAATGGGAGTCACGCTGACCTCCTCCCAAAACCAAACTGGAATTGCAACTAAATAATGGAGTAATCACCTGGAAAGCAGTGGAGCGATAGTGGGAGAGGAACCTTGGTGCCGCGGACAGTGGATTCTACTCTCACACATCCCAATGGGTGAGAAGTGCGGTGGAGGCTCGAGAGGGTGGGCTGGGTGCCCACGGGCACTGGCACCAGAGGGACATGGAAACGGCCAGTTAGCTTCCCCCGAGAAGAACGGGGTCTGAATCATAAACAGGAACCCCTAAACTACAGCAGCTAAAACCAAGAAAATACAAACAAAACGCAACCCCGATAGGCTTAGGGGCGCTCTCTGCCAGAGACAGGTGGCTGGAGATGCAAAGAGACATTTAAAGGGCCTAAGAAAAAATTGCAGTGGCAGCCACCCTCCTTGATCTCTGGGTAGAGGCGGCAGCAGGGTGGGCTGGTGCCTGGGAAAAGACTGGTGAGGAAAACTTTGTGAAGAGAACTGACACGGTGGCTGGTGGAGCCCCGGTGATGGCACGCCTCTCACTCTGCAGCTACCATCTCGCCCAGGCACAAGGGAATCAATTAACCTGCCTTTTCTGCGCTCCGCACACAGCTTGTAGGCGTGTGAGCTACGGGGCTGAGTCCAGACTGGCTGGGAGAGCCTTGAGGAGAGACTGGAGACAGAGGCATTGGGGAAAGAACGGGAGGAGGAACTGGGGAGTCCCGACTCCCTCCTCATTCTGTAGTCTCCATTGTGGGCTGGAAAGGCGTGACCCGAACGAGGCAGAAGCGGGGCGCGCATGAACCAGACTGCCTGCGATTGGAACGCAGTCCGCACAGGGGGGTGGATCCTTGGCCGAAGGGGTCAGGGAACTGCCCGGAGGCCCCTGAGGAGAGGCTAGGAGGCCCCTGAGGAGAGACTAGAAACGGAGGCATTGAGGAAAGAATGGGAGGAGGAACCTGGGAGTCCCAACTCCTCCTTGCCATAGTCTCCATTGCGCGGGAAGAGGCCACACCCCCAAAGAGCCAAAAGCCAAAAAGCACACATAGACACCCCCAAAACACCCAGTGCAGGCGCGCACACTTTTGGGCGAGTGACCGGCGAGGGTTGGCGAGCGTGTGTGTGACCCGCATGGGCTGGTGAACGCTTGCACGGGCCGGCAAGGCCTCCCACAGATTGGCACAGATTTGGCCAGCGAGGGAGTGCACAGAGCAGCAAGGGCAGGCGTAAATTGACCCACCCACCCGCGATTGCCGAGCGGCCCACAAAATTGGTAGAGCTGCCCAGAGTCCCTGGAGGAGAGACCAGAGACAGGATTAACCGGAGAGTCCTGGAGCTGACTTCCTCCCATGTCCGTAGTCCCCATTTGGCGAGGGCAAGCAACACACCCAAAGAGCCAAAAGTGGAGAAAATACACAATAGAAAACCCTAAACTAACCAGTGCTGTGGAGCTCGCTGACCAGGGGGGCCAGATGACTACGCGAGGTCGCGAATAAGCCCCCTGGTCTGGGGCAAGCACATGCGAACCCAGGCAGGCGGGGGATCCTGCTGCGCTGGGAGCACGCTCAAGGAGCCCGCGTGAGAGTGCAGAGAGATCCCAAAAAATAGCTCAGCCCTGACCGAAGGGGTCACAAAGCTGCTCCAAGCAGGAGTCAGACACAGACATTAGACTCCTGGAAGGCTCAAACAAACAACCCAAGGTCCTATAGGGTCAAAAACTGACATCATCAGAGGCATGCCCAGGAAGAAAAGTAAAGGACAAAAATACTTAACAGACTCTCACAAAAATGGGAAGAAAAAGAAGTTCCCCCAAATGAGTGGAAAAGGGGACTCCCCACAGAGAGAACTAAATGAAAATAGAGGCAAGGGAACTGTCAGATACTGAATTCAAAACAATGGTTCTAAGGAAGCTCAGTGAGCCCAGCCAGCTCAAAGATAACTATGAGAAACTGCAGAGAAACTATCAGGATCTTACAGCAAACTATATCAGCCTGGAAAGGGATATAGAAACTATCAAGAAGACACAAGAGGATATGAAGAATACCATTTCTGAATTGAAGAACCCATAGAAGGAATCCAAAGCAGGCTGGATGAAGCTGAGGATCGAATCAGTGAGATGGAGGACAAGGTAGAAAGAAGCTCCCAGAAAGAACAAGAAATGGAAAAACGGTTCAAAAAGAATGAAGAGGCATTTAGGGAAATGCAGGACAACCTGAAACGCAATAATATCCGTATAATAGGGATATCAGAAGGAGAAGAAGAGGAGCAAGGGATAGAGAACCTCCTCGAAACAGTAATGATGGAAAGTTTCCGTAATTTGGGGAGAGAAAGGGTCCCATGGATCCGGAGGCACAGACGACCCCACTCAAGAGGGAACCAAGGAGGTCCACTCCAAGACACATCATCATTAAAATGGCAACTGTCAAAGACAAAGAGAGAATCCTCAAGGCAGCAAGGGAGAAGGAGAAAGTAACATACAAGGGGGCCCTGATACGCCTAGGAGCTCACTTCTCAACAGACACAATACAAGCCAGAAGGGAATGGCAAGAAGTATTCCAAGCCATGAAAAGCAAGGGCCTACAGCCAAGGCTGCTCTACCCAGCTAGGCTCTCCATTAAAATAGAAGGGGAAATACAGAGTTTCCCAGACCAGAGAAGACTAAAAGAATACATCTCTACCAAACCAGCACTCCAAGATATGCTAAGGGGACTGGTTTAAGCAGATTAAGGAAAAGAATGAGAGAGAGAGGAACACAGGTACAAAGAGAAAAGATGAGTAAGTCTCTATCAGTAA